CCTGCGCCTGGACGTGCGGGTGCTGGACGAGAACGACAACGCGCCGCGCTTCGCGCAGCGGGAGTACCGCGCCCGCGTGCGGGAGGACGCGCCGCCCGGCACCGCCGTCTGCCGCCTGCAGGCCGCCGACCCCGACCTGGGCGCCAACGGCGAGGTGCACTACGCCCTGGACCCGCGCCACGGCGACCCCGAGGGCTACTTCGCAGTGGACGAGCGCACGGGGGTGCTGCGCCTGCAGCGCCCGCTGGACCGCGAGGCCCGGGTGCTGCATCGCCTGGTGGTGCAGGCCCGGGATGGCGGCACCCCGCCTGAGGCCACCAGCGCCCTGGTGAGCGTGGTTGTGCTGGACGTGAATGACAACGCACCCGCCATCCGCCTGCTCTTCCTCACCGAGACCGGCGGGCCGCGGCTGTCGGAGGGGGCCCAGCCCGGCGACTATGTGGCGCGGGTGGCAGTGTCTGACCCTGACGAGGCGGGCGCGGGCAGCGCGGCACTTGCGTTGGAGGATGGCAGCAACGGGGCCTTTGTGCTGCGGCCTGGTGGCCGTCCCGACCTCTACTGGCTCTGTGTGCAGGGCCCGCTGGACCGGGAGCGCCAGGCCCTGTATGAGCTGCACCTGGTGGCTACGGATGGTGGGCAGCCGCCACGCTCCACCCGCCGCGCACTGCGCCTGCAGGTGGCTGACCTCAATGACGAGGCACCCACCTTTGAGCAGCCCCACTATGGCACCACTGTCTCTGAGGCTGCCATGCCTGGCACTGCCGTGCTTCACCTCCGCGCCACCGATGCAGATGAGCCTGGCTCACCCAATGCCCAGGTGCGCTATGCCTTGGAGGAAGTGGATGGCCTGGGCACACCATTGGTGCTGGAGCTGTTCACCATTGACCCGCTGAGTGGTGTGCTCAGCACCCGGCGCCCGCTGGACCGTGAGCGGCAGGCGGTGCTGGAACTGCGCGTTGTGGCCCGGGACCTGGGCGAGCCCCCACTGTCCTCTTCCTGCCTTGTCAGCATCCGCCTGGAGGATGTCAATGATAATGAGCCTGTCTTCGAGCGGCAGGTGTACAACGCCAGCCTGGCTGAGCATGCTGGGCCCGGCCACTGCCTGCTCCAGGTACCTTTCCCCCCTCCTCCTGGGGCGCAAGGGTTTGCCTTGGAGTGGGAGATAGTGGGGGAGTGCTGCCCCCTCTGCCCTGCCCAGCTCCCTGCCTCAGCTGGGCTGAGGGAGGAGGGAGAGGTGAGGGTGAGCCAGCTGGGCTTTAACCGTGGTTCCCCCTGCACTATAAGACAAGGCATTAATTGGCAAACTAAATGCTTATTTCCCCCTTGTAACAATTACTCGTGATGCCTCCTGCATCATAAGAAGGGCCATTCACTGGGTCAGCCATCCAGGGCCAGTGTGCTTTTGGTGGCCCCCCTCAGTGCACTCCTTATGGACCTATGACCTTCACTCTGACCCAAGTTTTGCTCTTTTGTTGTCCCAGATAATCAGGTGACACATATCCAATAGCTCCCTCTGTTAACAGGTGGGGTTAACAATTGCTCTTTGGGCCTAAGAATCATGTCCTCAATTTGTGTCAATTTGGCCTGTGTTACAGGGCCAGGGCCAGTGAGCACTGCCCAGCGTGCTCTGCTTGGTGTCCCCCTTGGTGCACTTGTTTTGAATCTTTGACCTTCACTCCTATTCCCATTTTGTGTTTTTTTTCAGTTGTCCCAAGCAATCACTGATGTGCCCTTAGTGGCCTGCTTTGTCAAGGGAGGCTTATATCTTTACTTGGTGGGCTTTGGCTCATGATCTGAAATGGCACATGGAAAGGCCTGTGTCACATGATGGCAGACAGCAAATGCTGAAAGGGAGAGCAAACTGCGTATGATCAGGGGGTTTTCCACTGTTCCTCTCACTTGCAGCATCCAGCATTTAAGATCTAGCAAGCTCTGATTCGAAGGCTTAATCCCTAATTTCCATGCTCAGTAGCTACCAGTGCTCCTTTCTTCCAAGAATTTTTCCAATCCCTTTTGGATCTGGCTAAAACTGGTGGCTTTCACCACATCTGATGGCTGTGTCCTACCTGGTAAATACACTGAGCAGTGTAGGCAGCGTACAGCCTGACCCTAAAGTGACACTAAACCTGTTGCTCATTTCAGCTCCCTCATGGTTCTGCTCTCCGATTTTTGCCCTCTTGCCCTGTCCCTGAAAATGTTGTTTGATTGATTGGGGGCCAATCTTCTTGGAAGGCATGCCATAAATTAAACCATATGCCTTCCCTGAGGGCCCTTCCAATCCCCTTTCTCCTGCATAATCTGCTGCTCTGCTTTCTGCTCCCTTCCTCATTTGCCCCATGCCACACACAGTGAACTGGAGTGCCATGGGTGCTAAGGCATGAAGTTGACAGCCTAGAGATTACTAGTTTAAGGCTGCAGCAGAAGCATTCCCACTGCAGCCTGTCAAACTCCAATGAACCAACAAATTCTACTAATTACCATGTCACAAGGACACATAAAAGCAAGGATCCCACACAGATGTTGCTTATGCCATTTCTGGCATGTTGTTCATGTTTAGTTTAATGCATCCTGCAAAGCCTGCATTGAATAAAAGAGCTCAGCCCAATGTGCTTGGCTAAATGGTGAGTCTGCTGCACCATAGGTTTGTAAAGCAATTAAAACATTTTTGATTTTTGGGTTTATAAAACTTCTCTCCACATGGGACTGATACATAGACACAGAGGCCCACATTGTCATAAATATTTAGGTGCCCAAATCAAATTAAAATCAGTAGGGAGTTAGGATCCTACGTAGGAGTTATGCACCTCAGGATGCATCTACACGCGTGCTTTAATCCTCAGTAGCTTATTTTACTGTGCATTAAAGCAGTGTGTAAAAAACATGCTATTACACTAATGCACAGTAAAATCATCTACTGTGCATTAAGTGTCATCTAAAATGCATGTGCTTGCACTACTGTGCAGTAGGGCAGCCTAATGTGCATTAATTTAGTACCTCACCCTGGAGGTACTAGATGCAATGAGCATTAAGAAAAGTGCATTAATGCTCATGTAGACATGCCCTCAGTGCCTCTGTGACCTAGCTGTAATGGTACTTGCTACTGAATGTTGTATCTTGAATCTGTACAGCAGAGGGGAAGTCAGACAGCATGCTGTGAAAGGAGCTAAAATTAAAAAAAAGAAAAGAAAAACAGGAGCAGTTCTTTCAGTTTTGCAATTCTATCATCCAGGCTTCTCTGTCAATGAGCAAAATCAGTTAAGGCAGGAGGGTATATTTGCACCTTACAGACTAATAACCAGAGATGTATAGCATGAACTTTTTGTGAGCTGACTTTGTCAGAATCTGTGAAAGAACATGCATGGAAAAGAGTGTTAAATAGATTGATTGAATACAGAAGATGGGAGAGGAGAGTGGGGAGGGGACACTGCTTGGTGGGGCAAACAAGTAATAAACCCATAGGGACAAAGGGTTCACAAAAGCTAATCCGTAATGGAATAAGACTCTGTAGTCCCTGTTTTGACCACACGTAACCCAGTGCAGTCTGTGGGTGATGATTTAGTGTTTTGTACTTTTGTGCCCAAGTTTGTTTTTAAAGTTTTATTGTCTAAGAACAGCTGATTGGATCAGCTATTGGATAAAAGTGCCAAAAAGCCACATACGAGTTATACAGATGCTGGGGAGCTGGGGCAAACTGGCACAATTCCTTTTCTGGTAAAGTGCTTTTTGGTTGGTTGGTTGGTTGTTTTCCCATGCCTGTCAGCATGCCATTTTATTTGGTCCAGTGATGATATGGTCTTTGTTGATGGGTGGGGGGCACAGCTTGCATTTGGGCCTCTTGCAAGGCCTGGTACCTCAGTGAGAATAGAAGTTAAGTAGCCTGTTGCTTGAGAGATGCCACTGGAGACTGGGGGAGGCTATCTATAAGCCAGGATAGGTTTGTCCTCCATGGCTGGTTTGTCCAAGTTGACTAATGTTAATGGGGGAAAAAAAAGAGATATTTTACTTAGCTATCCCAAAAATAATTATATTCTTGGTATGGTTCAGAATAACTTGGCAAAGCTGTCAAGATTAATGGAATCTTTCATAAAAATATGTTGAAGCCACTGAAACCATATAAAAAGAAGAATCAAGTTAGGCTTACTTTTTAATTCTTTTTTTTTCTGAGAGAAGTAAATTCACTAAAAAAAAAGTAAGCCTGCCTAATTTGACCAAAATTTGCAAAGAGTTTTGGCTGAAGAAAAAAAAAAACAACATGGAAAATAATCTATAAAGGTGGCAATATATTATTTCTGTATTTTCAAATGCATTTAGTTTTTTTGTTTTGTGAGTTCATTTTGTTTCAGGCTCAGGGGGGACCTGGCGGCTGTCTATAAGTACATAAGGGGTATGCATCAGGATCTGGGGGAATGCCTGTTCATCAGAGTGCCCCAAGGGATAACAAGGACCGTTTTAGGGGGGGCATAAGAAAAAACTTCTTTACTTTCCGAGCCCCCAAATCCTGGAATAGACTCCCTCCAGAAATGGTGCAGGCACCTACTCTGGACTCTTTCAAGAAACATTTGGATGTTTATCTTGCTGGGATCCTTTGACCACAGCTGACTTCCTGCCCCTGGGCCAGAGGGCTGGACTTGATGATCTTCAAGTCCCTTCCAGCCCTAATGTCTATGAATCTGTCTATGTCTATGAGTCTACGATTTAAATGGGAAAAAGTTGTTTTAAAATGTCTTTTCTTTTAAAATGAAATAACCCAAAATGATAGAGAAATACTTCATTTTAGGTTTTGGTCACCCTGAGATTAATTTTTGGCTTGACCTTTGAGTTATAAATATCTGGTTTTCACACAGTGCTACTACAGATTTACCTGTTTAAAATGCAGTTCATGTTTTAAATTGCTTGCTTATCTGCTCCAGCTTTTTTATTGCTGATCCTATCCTTCAAAAACATGAACTTCTTCTACACTGAAGTCTTCTCTGTGCAAAATGATACTGTGTTTCCTGTTGTGCTTATGCTATGAGAAGCAAAGAGAAAAGTTGGCAAAAGATATAACAGTTAATCTATTGCTAGACAGTAAGTAGTGAAACATTTTTTAATTCATTCAGTCATATTAGCATTTTTGTGATAGCATCAGTGAGTACAGCTGCAGTCAGCAGTCCATGGTGCTGAAGGAGAAATTTTAAAGAAAACCAACATCCTTATTCCGTTACTGGAATTGATTATTCCTAACTTTTATGTTTTATTTATTTACACTCATATTATGTATTAGCTTTCTCAGAGTGTACAGAATGTAAAAACACATAGCAAAGAACCAAACTCTTACCTACCATAACATGTATGTAAACTCAATCATTTTCTTAAAATGAGCTTCAGTCTAGTAGGAGAGGATGATTTTTCTATCAAGTCATGCAAAAATGTATTGTTACTGTATCTATATGCAACATACATTAGCACCATTACTTTGTCTCTGTAATTCTGAGCAGAATTTAGGAAAAAATACTAGAAATCAAAACTGTAGGCAAAATGTTACCAAAAAATAAGAATCAGACCCAGGGCCATGTGTTACCCCCATGCACTGGGATTGGGTGCTAGGGCCCTGCACTGCCCCTGTATGCTGGGATCAGGCCCTGTGCCACCCAGCACATATGATCCAGTGTGCAGAGCCATGCTCTCTATCCATGGTACTCTCCACACGTCCAGAAATTTGTCAGCAAGGGATCAGTGCCACTTCTCCTTTTGCCACCAATTTTTTGGACTCACTGGCCAGATGACACAGCATTGGATGCCAGATCTGGTTTATGGACACAGGGACTGAGTGCTCCTGGTCTAGTCAGTCATTCACCAGTCTGTATTTATACATACAATTGTTCCATCCTAAGTGAAGGACTTTGCATTTGTCCTTATTACATTTTGTTTAATTAATTTTGGAACGTTTTTCCAGTGCCTTCAGGGTATGATGCAATGATATAATAGTTTGCTTGGATGTTGAGTGGTAGGTAACAATAATAATATTATCCTTATTCTGCACTGTATGGTTTTCAGTGTATGTTTTAAGTATATGTCAGGTCTATGGTTTTAGAGAAGGCAATTAATTATGTGATAGAAAGTTACAGTGTTTGTATTGTATAATGTATCCTAAACTACATCCTGTATGATAACACACACACTTTATATAATTTTACAAGATATGTGGAGATGCACTTCTTGATATGAATGGAGACTGTAGTTTCTTTTATACAGTATTTAATACATTTGCTTTGGCAGGTAATATATGTATTTCATTATCAATTATCATTCGCATACTAATTTAATAATCAAACTTCAGCAACTAAAATATTTCATATAGATACTAAAAAATGGCTGTGCACTTACCGAGAATATGTGCTTATCTAACCTTAATGTAAAAGATACTTATTCAGTACACAGCGCCCTCAGTGCTCTGGTGGTATCAGCTCTGAAACTGACTAAGCTTCCCTCATTTTATGGGCTTGTAGTAGTCAATTTCAGGGCTTCTGTTAGAAGCCTTGGGGAAAAAGGAAGCTAGTCCGTTTCAGGCCTGGAGAGCTGTTGTAAAGGATGCTCGTTAAGTACACAGCCCTGCCAGTGAAGTACCATTAGCAGTTCTGGATCTGACTAGCTTTTTCACTGCTTCCAGTAGCAGCCTTGAAACTAAGTACTTGAAGTCTTGATTATTTGAAGGGAGCTTCCACGATTTCAGTTTTGTAAATATCATATTTTCCCAAATCCAAGATGGCTTTGAAGTCAAGATGACCCTACAATAGTTACATTTTATACATGGAAAATGTATATATTTGTTACAATTTTTCAAGAGGAGACTGGACAGGCACCTGGCTGGGGTCTTATGACCCCTCCCACCCCCAGTGCTCCTTCCTGCCCATGGCAGGGGGTCGGACTTGATGATGATCTGTCTAGGTCCCTTCCGACTCATTGATTCTATGTATAGAATTTAATTATTGGAGGGCCATCTTTAAATTCGTTCCCCCTGCTGCTACAGTGAGGAAAGCAGAGGCAGGAGGGCAGGCAGTGGGGGATGGCAAGCGGCCTGACCCCTGCCCTTTGCCTCTGCTGCTCATCACTTGTGCCCCCTGCAGGCTGCACTACTGCCTCCCTCTGCCACCTGCACTGCCTGCTGCCTCCCCCTGGCACTGGCTTTCCCTTTTGCCTGCCCCCTGGACCCTTTGCTCCCTCACTGCTTACTGTCAGTTGTGACTCCAGTCCCATTTGGGCCTGGGACACGGAGCACATGGTAGCTCTGGCCCTGACCTGACTACACAGCAACAGCTGTAGTAGTGACAGCTCTGTCCCCAGAATGTCAAAGCTACTGCCGTTGCTGCTGTATAGACATACAGGTAGCCAGAGGTTGTTACCCAGTAAGTTAGGAAACAAAATGGGACTGGCATTGCTTTGGATAGTAAAGAGTTATGCATATTGGGCAGGTGCATATAAATGGAGTACTCTGCGTAAGTTTTCAGTATAGAAGATTCTGCTTGTCAAATTTTGCTTGCCTTTACAGATATAATGGCTTCAGTGGGAGTTTCCTTTGTATAAAGTAAGTAGGTGTTAGTGTCGTATCTGTGTTTTTTGCAATGTAGTAATGCAGCATACAGATGATTTAAGCCCTAAATTATGAGCTTCAGATGTCAACTAGCAGTTTTCAGCTTTTTCAACTAGATACCAGTAGGCTCCAGGGGAATGTCATGGCACCCTGGAAAGGTACCTTAGCTCCTCTTTTTGTGGGGGGGTGTCATATATTGACTGCTAGCATAGGGAGTGGTTTGGATTGAAACGGGTTTGGAACCTTTTCCTGGCACAGGCTGGAGCTTGGGCCT